CACCAACCTGAAGGGAACAAGCCACACTTTTCCGACTGAAAACCATGGCCTTGGATTTGGAAGTGCTGATTCTGAAACTTTATCATTATAAAAGCAAAATAATACTAACAGTAAATAAAACAACTGTAACTCCTGAAATCCAATCCTAACATTATGACCGTTCAAGGAAATCTTTAAACTATCAAAAAAATACTTAATTTTGTTAGAAGTCTCTTGAGCGAGAGTTTGTTAGATGTGTATAGACCGAGTTGCTTCTGCACAGAAGTACAGGGTGGGCCACGAAAAAGTTTCCCATGTGCCTGTGGCACTGGTATTGAAGGTGGGCTACTTTTCTGTGGCCCACCTTGTACTAGAACATATGTACACCTCATTTTGAGCTTTAGGTCACATTTCAGATGAGAATTCCCTTTTATAACACTGTAGATAATTCAGAAAACAAGGAAAAGCATGTCAGGGGCCCTTTAAGAGCCAATGTCAAAATCATCAGACAAGGGAAGCAAGTTAGTTGTTTATGACCAAATTACAAACTGACCACGTCATGTCCCACCTCCTGCGCACTTTGCCCAGGTGCACCTCCCACGCATAAACCAAACGGAGTAGGTGAAATTATGTCTGATGTGGACTGCCTCCTGTTGTGTGCTAAGTATGAAAGGGCAGGTCTCGACAATGTCCGGGCCTGATTCCACGGCCATAGTATTGGAGCTCACATCTGAAAATGATTATAGACACATAACATTATTTTTATTAATCCTACATGTTCTTTACAAAGGCACACTGCATAATCTAATTTACACACACACACACACACACACACACACACACACACACACACACACGGTCAAACAAGAAGTGGATTTAAGTTATGGTTGGTCACAGAGAGAAACATTATTCTGGACTGTTCTTAGATTTTGAAGCATATCTGGCCTCTGTTTCTGTGTTATTTATTCATTCATTTTTCTCTAGCTGTCATAACATAACTCTAACCCAACATGTGTCACACCACATGGCACTAGTGGGGTAGGTTCTAACAAAAGCACACCATGTTTCTAACATCACCTTATTAGTTCTGCAATATTCTTGCAGAGGTTTCAGTTGGTGCGATTAAATGTGGGTACTTTGTATAAGTTTGAGATGCTGACTTTTCACCCACATCTGGTGGATTTCCAAATTAAACATGTGGCTCTAACATACAGGTAAGCGAAGATAAATAATATGCAGCAGTCCTGGAATAAATGCATGTTACGTCATGTGCAAAACAGTCCTTGTGTTTATTTTGCATCTGTAACAGCGGCTGCTTTGTGTTTTGTTACAGCCAGATTTAACTTGGAGGATGTGGGGAAGCTGTTTTTATGCCAGTTCAGGTGTTTGCAGGTATGTTGTCTCTGCACTTTGGCTTTGGAGGCATAATTTTCTGTTACATAATTTGTTACAGAATTCTCTGCCAGATTAAAGTCAGATTTCTGAACAGCGTTTTGTGTGTTGTCTCAGGCTCAGTGGAACTTCTAAAAACCATCTACACATAAAATCTGTTTCCTAAAACAGAAGACGGTTGTCTCCTCCAGGTTTGTTTTAGTCCTACAGTTTAAATTATTCTTGTCACCTGATGGTGGTCGGTCCCTTGCGCTGCCTGTGCTCATGGTTCCTGTGCCCTGGACATTTTACAGCAGTTATTTTTATTTGAGGTCCTTTAGATTAATCATTTTAGCTGACTGTTACATTATTCAGCACTTAACTTGTTTCTTCACCGACAGATTAGTAAATATCTACGGCTTCCTTTACAGCTCCACCTGTGGACGAGATACTGCAGGTGTTCGTCTGGGGGGAGGGGGGCAGAGCCGTGCATCCTCTCTCGGAGCGGCTTTGAGGAGGAAGAGGAGGGCGAGGAGGAGGAGGAGTGTCGGTACCGCTGCACAGTCAGTGAGTCGTTAACGGTCGGTGACCATCACCAGCGGTCGGAAACAGACTGTCGAATGATGAAGATGAAGCTCCTTCAGCTCGGCGGTAAGAAAAGAAAACGTTCCGCATGTCTTCTTATTTTCTCCTCCACCGCCATCATCTTCATCACCGCTCTGTCTGCAGCGACACACTCACTCCTCCATCTTCATCACCCCTTCATCTTCATCTTCATCATCAGCTGCTAACCACCATCAGCTGGTGTGTGCGTGATACAGTGATTTGAACCAGATAAACGCTGTGAATCACCAGAGGTGATGGTTTGATGATGATGATGATGATGATGCACCGTTTCTCTTATCGTTTACTTGACCACCGGGGTGTAAATATAGAAACCACTGCGTCAGAGCGGCGAGCTGACGTAGAAACCCGATAAATCTCCGGGTCTGTGCGGAGCTACATTCCTCCACACTCAGACACCTCCACCATCATCATCTTCATCATGTTAATAAGCTGTCCCCCACCTGTGCCACACGTGACTGGCTGCAGGTGACCAAATAAATCACTGACTGACGTTTTATAGACAATTATATTTTAGTTCTGTTGTAAGACTTTACTTGATAGTAAAAAGTAGACTACAGCTGCTCCTTTACAACAAGCGCTGCCGTCAAAATCTGCAGTAGGGGTATCGAAGTTCTCCTGTTCCTGTGTACAGCAGCTGCTCAGACAAAGGCAGCCTGGTACAACGCCAGTACACAGTTCAAGCAACAGTGACTGTTACTACATTTATTACTATGTATGAGATATGACAGTGTTTTTCAACAGGGCAGTGAAACAGCATGCTGCTAACACCCGACTGAATCAGTAACAGTCTAATAATACTGGCCAACAGAAGAGACATTTTACTGCAGAATGAGCACTTTTACTGCGGAGGTGGTACCTCGGACACACACGGCCAGGCCCGTGACAAACACTGCTTAGTGTGGACTGCACATCTCTCTATACGGTCCATGAGTGTGTTTGTGATCAGTGTGATTGTGTTACTGACGCCGACAGGTCCAGAGTCCAGGCTTTTACTCTGTGTGTCCATCTGTTGGCTCTCACACTCTCACACAAACAGGTGATAACACCTGAGTGTGTGTACTCTGCAGTCTAAAGGCTCCTCTATCGAACGGAGGTAAGGCAAAGTTAAACGTGGGAGCAGCGCTCTGTGACGACAACGACGCGTTCAATTGCAGAGAACCTGACAGACCAAATAGAAAATGGAGGAGAAGCTGATTTTGTCGGAACCACACCCTCTTCTTCTTTGCTGCAGCTCGTCTCCTCCTCATCATCAGTACAACTAAGGCCAAAGCTTTTTACTATGTAGCTAAATACATTGTGCATCCAGGTCCACTGCTCAAACACTCCAACTCCAAATCAGAAAAAGTTAGGACTGTATGTAAAATTAAAATTAGTTTTAAATTAGAACTGAAAACAGTGATTTGTAAATCATCTGTGTCCTGTATGACATTGAAAACAATACAGCAGCACATTATTTGATGTGATATCTCATAGAGGTTACTGCATCATGATTTGGTACAAAAGTGGCATCCAGCAATGCAGGCGGGCAAACAAGCTAGACACACATGCAAAACCAGCCACCTTTTTGTAACAGTAAACCACTGTTTCCAGTGTTTGAAAACAGTTCCAGTGAACCATAAGTCTCAGCTGAGTGTATTTTGTCATCTTCTTCATTTCATTCTAGTGTGCCAAACAGTAGTTTTGCTCAGTGCTGCCAGCTGGTGCTTGGGTTTTCAGTGCTACTGGACCAGCTGAAGTGGGTATCCCCCTCGACCAACAATCGGTAGTATTGAGCAAATTGTTGCTTGGCACACTAGAACGAGGAGAAACCGGCACCAAAATACATTGATAAGCCACATAAAGGTAAGATCTGTGCTTTATTGGATGCAAAGTCTATTAACATGGTGTTCAGGTGAACTCAACTCACCGTGTTTCTCCTGCAGGTAATGTGACTTCTCGCAGAGGATGGACAGTCAGCATTAAGATATCTTCCAGTGGTCAGGAGGACTGAGGTGAGGTTGAGGAATCATGGGAGATGGAGGACCCCTGCAGACCGAGGGTAATGCCCTCCTCAAAGCAGTCTTCCAGGGGAAGCTGAGGCTGACCCGTCTGCTGCTGGAGGGCGGCGCTTACATCAACGAGGGCAATGACCGTGGAGAGACCCCAATATCTGCTGCTTGCTTAGCAAGCTACGATGACCCGCAGACTCGGCAGAGGATGGTCAGGTACCTGCTGGAGAAAGGTGCCGACCCAAACATCCCCGATAAAAGTGGCCGAACAGCACTGATGCACGCCTGCGCCGAGCAGGCAGGGAAGGAAGTGGTCTCCTTGCTGCTAGAAAATGGAGCTGATCCCAGCCTCAAAGACTACTCTGGCTCCTCTGCCCTTGTCCATGCCATCAACAAGGGGGACCGCGACACACTGCAGGTTCTCCTGGATGCCTGCAAGGCCAAAGGCAAGGAGGTGATTATCATCACCACTGACACATCTCCGTCAGGTTCCAAGAAGACCAAACAATACCTCAACTCTCCCCCCTCACCAGGCATTGTGGACAAACTGTCTCCAGCTTGCATGTCTCCCTCTGAGGTAGAGATTGGCACCTCCTCACCAGCAGGAGATAAGAGCAAAGACAATGAGGGGATCTTCAGCTTCACGCTCACCTCAGCTTTACCTTTACCTTCATCTCGACCTCCAGGAGAGAAAAGACCACCACCTCGCAAGCTGTTGAAGAGGCTTAACTCTGAGCCCTGGGGCCTGGTGGCGCCCTCAGTGCTGAGTGGGGTTCCTCAGGACCGGGCTGATGGAGGTCTGGAGGAGGAGCAGGGCTGTGACTTGAACAGGACAATCACTGAAATTAATGGTCTGTCCATCACAGAACCTGTCAGACCTCTACTGTCACGGCGACACAGCATTGAGACCCACGACCCCTGCTCCCCTAAACTCATTGACCGGTCCTGCTCTGAGGACTGTGCAGCCCTCTCTGGTTCCTGGGCTGACAAAGTCCAGCAGCACCAGATTCTGTACCGCAGGAACACAGCCCCAGAGTCCCAGGAGAATGCTGGAGGAACCGGAGCACTCATGTCCCGGGCCATGGCTCACCCTAAACTGACCCGGATGGAGCACTATGAGTCAGATACCCACCTCTGCCCAGAGTCCATCCCAGGATCCCCAGACTCTGGTCGGGTGTCTGTGGAGAGGAAGAGGTACAATGCCTCCCCCCTGTCCCTGGTCACCAGCTCCTCCAGGGAGTCTCTGGAGAATATCCCCAACTCTGTGTCCCCTATCACCATGCGCCGGCGCCCCCCAGGTCTCCTGGAGCGCCGAGGCTCTGGAACCCTCCTGCTGGACCACATCTCCCACACTAGGCCTGGCTTCCTGCCTCCCCTCAACATCAATCCCCAGAGACCGATCCCTGACATCCGGGCCAATGGTAAACCCACCTCCCCCGTTCACCCTGGACACAAGATCCTGGTCCCAGTGGCCCCAGCTTCGCCGAAACGGGGCCCCGACTTCAAGATGAAGAAGAAGCTAATGAGGAGGCACTCGATGCAGACGGAGCAGATGAAGCAGCTCTCCGCCTTTCAGGAAATCCTGGCTGAGAAGGTCATTGAGTCCAATGGGGATTGATGACAGGAAGTGTCAGAACAAAGCATGATGGGTAGCTGTAGAGATGTGTTAGGGTGTTTATTTAATGTGAAGCTTCTGCATCTGACACTCAATGAGAAACCCATTTAAAACCAGATCCTGGTTTTTATGGAGGGCTGCACCTAAACGGATCTTATTAACCTTAGAGAGGAGTTCAGTCAGGGTTCAGTTAAACCAGATTTAAATTTGAACCTCAAATTTAAATAATAATCTCTGGTTCTGATGTTACATTAGTTTATTGTACAGATGTAAGACAACAGAAATCTTAATGTAAACAAAAAAAAAATGTAGAGGTGCTACATCACAGATACCTTGACATCCAGTTAATTCTCCAAGACGTTTATCCATCAGAACTCATTTAAGTAGATCTAAGAGCTGGGTCACATTACTCCTGTTTTAGCCTCTTTACACTGGCTACCTGTTTATGTCAGAGTTTTTCCAGGTTCATCACTACACTGTTTATCCTTCACATAGATCCTGGAGCTCTGGCCTCTTGGCTAACCAAGAGGCCAGACTAAAGACTACAAAGTCCTTTCTGTTCAGGTCTCAAGACTGGAACAATCTATGTAAGAAGATTTACTTGGTGAAGTCTGTTCGAACTACTTCTAAAATGTTATGTTTACCCTGGTTTTAGTTACTTCAGCTGTTCTAGACCTCAGTGAAACAAATTATCAGAATCAGCTTTATTGGCCAGGTGTGTCGGACACACGAGGGATTTGACTCTGGTACATTGGCTCTCAATGTGTATGTACATATCCCCATGCAAGGGGCAAGTATACAATAAATCAGCATAAGGCTGTGTAATATAACAAAATACGCAGTATTTACAAGCAACAAACAGTGCAAACAATGCAAAATAAGCAGTATAAACAGGAAGTAAACAATGCAGACAGACAAAGGAATGCTCAGTGTGATTTCTTATAGAGATCTGTATGGATCTGAATAGTCTGTTCAATGTACATTTATGGGTATTTCGCTGAGGGTTATTGTCTAGTCCTACTATCGTGGGTCAAGTGTTTATCAGAGTGACAGCCTGGGGGAAGAAACTGTCCCTGTGCCTGGTTGTCTTGGCGTACACTGACCTGTAACATCGTCCAGAGGGGAGGAGTTTAAACAGATTGTGTCCAGGGTGTGAGGGGTCTCTGAGAAATCACACTCCCAAAATAAAACCATCACTGCAACCTGCCATTACTGTGAAGTAAAGAAACTAATGGGCAAAAATGAAAAACTAAAACTAAGGTTTTACACGGACATTTGTCTTCTTGTAGCACCTGATAAACTGCAGCCATCAGTGAACCTGTTCATTTAGAGTTGAAACTGGGTTTGAAGCCAGGGTTTAAACTCTGGCTGATGAAGGTCACAAGATGTGGTTGAAAGCTTTGGAAAAAGCTAATAGGTCTTTATTTAGGATTAAATTGGCTTTAGACTGAAGACCTTAGTAAGTGGACACATGCAAAACAACAAGTAAATCAATAAACAAATAAAAACTGGCAAACAGATTTTACAGATGGCTTTAAAACAAAATTAGTGATGCAACTAATAAACATAATGTAAAAATAATAAATATTTGCTTTGGTCCACATTTACAGATTCAGTCTTTGGTCAGATAAACCAGGTGATCACCTGGAGTTCTGACAAATTATAATATTTTCTGACATTTATAGAAACAAGCAATAAGTGGATCAAAAAGATAATGAGAAGATTAACTGATAATAAAAATATTCATTATTTGTAGAAAGATATCAGGGATTTTTGAGATGTGAATATATTGGACTTGTACTGAATTATATCTTCAACACATTCTCGTCACTTGTTTCAGACGGCTCAGTTTTCAGACCAATAAGTTTGAAAGCAAAGCGTTTTAGCAGGTTGACGTGAGCGCGGTGCAGCTCTCCTCAGTTTCTGAATGTTTCCTCTGCTGGACCACAGGAAGCTTTCTGGGTTAAACACCATTTTACATTCCTGATGCTTCCTCTGAACTCATCATCCATCCACTGCAGTCAAAAACTGATCCAAGTATACAAAGAAATACTCGCACTTGTTTGATGTTTACAGATGCACAATTTGCACCAAGGTCGTGTCCATTTTTCTCCAGGTGACAGATGAAAACATGACCCTGAAACTGAAATTATTTCATCGTCTGTTGGTCGGCTCTGAAAACTAACTCATCTTTTCATTAATGAAGATATATTTATATTAATGTTCTGACTGAAGACGTGTGAAACTACCTACTGCGCTGTATGCACTGTAATTACCAACCCACTAGTCAATATAATGGTTAGTGCTTCTGTGTAAATGAACAGTCTGTTTTACAGTTCACATGGTTTGGATCACTCCTGACCACACTGAGGTGATGTTTGGATCTGATTTGTGCTGAGATGGAGAGAAATGAAATGGTTTCTTGTTTCTGAAATTCCAAAGAATTCATGAGGACGATTTGAACTAAAATCTGCTGAAACTGTAAATACTGTAAAGATTTGTCTGTGCAATACAGTGTGTACTCTAAAGTCAATCCTAAAGCACTTCATCTAGATCACCACAAGAGGGCGCTGATGGACAATTAAAGGAAGTTCCTAAATTTAGGACCTGCTGGACAAGTGATGAAAATATCCTCAAAGTTGGTAAGTGTATAATTTCTAAACTTCCCCTAATTTCTATGGAGACAGTGAAATGAGGTTGAAATCACATTTAATGACACACACACACACGCTATCACACAATTACAATACTGCCATATGGTCTAAATTGTCCTGATTTTTGTTTTTTATTCCACAGGCCTTGACTATATCAGAGGCCACTTGGACTGTCGGGCCGAGTATCACATCACTGAAGGCTCCCAATCATCTGAGGAAGAGGACTTCTTCTCCTCCTTGAAGAAGACCGGCCCTCTTGAAACGGCCCAGCAGTTGGATACGTACCTGGGGTGCCCAGGAGACACAGTAGAGGTACTGAAGTCCTTCCCAGCTGTGTTCCAGCTATCACTTAAGCTTAATACGGCACTCCCTGCCTCAGCAGCCTGTGAAAGACTGTTTAGTGTTGCAGGTCTCATCTTCAGGCCAAGAAGGGCAAGCATTGGCTCAAAGAACTTTGAGAATCAGCTGCTTTTGCGGCTTAACAAAGGTTATTGGTAATTCTTTGTTGCATGTTCTGCACTTAACTGATGTAGATCCTGAGTACAAAATGTTTGTTCGATAGCTTTGAGCATAGTACATACTATCAGGAAGGTATTAGGATTGAGTTATTTATTTTTTAATAAATCACTTGGATTAATCATTCATTTTGACAGCACATGTTTATTGTGTATTGACAACCATACAAGGGTAATTGTTACTAATCCTGCCCTGGTACACCAATTTTCTCATCCATTGCCCTCACAGATTCCTACAGCTAAGCTTGGATGTACATTTACATTAATGTATAGGTTATTGATGACGTGACTCTGATTTTTGACTTTTGCACCATTAGAATACTTATACGTAACTAACTAGTCATCATATCTTCTGCTCCATGAAACACATGTTAATGCTCAGGAGTACACATATATTCTTTATCTTTAATGTATTTGCATTGTACTAAAATGCATTTATTTTCAATGGGCATATATGTGACTGAAATGGTAGCCTAGTGCATCTTACATTTTTCAATATTAACATTTTAATATAACATTTGTCATTACGGCCTTTAGAAAAATATTTTTTTGAGGAGGTGGGGTATGGCACAATATGGTCCGTATGACGTAAGCTTTTGGCATTTTCCTTACATTACTTCTACTTTTATACTTTAAGTAGTTTTAAAACCAGTACTTTTATACTTTTACTTGAGTAAAAAGCTTGAGTTGATACTTCAACTTGTACAAAAGTCTTTTTAAACGCTAGTATTTATACTTCTACTTGAGTAATGAATGTGAATACTTTTGACACCTCTGAAACAGAGACACTGAGAGCTGTTGATGAAGAGCTTCGTGTGTGTCTTTCTTCAATTCCTGCCAGGATATCAGCTCTGTGTTCATCCAAACAGGCCCAGATTTCACACTGAGTGAGTATAAATAAATTGAAAGACTATATTGTCATTATATATATTGGATTAGGCTACAGAGTGTCATTTTTTAATATTTTTGGTTGGTGGTGTGCCTTGTGATTTTTTTTTTCACTGAAAAAAGTGTACCGTGGCTGAAAAAAGGTTGAAAAACACTGATTTAGATGATGTGTACAGTTAAAATCCCACACAGGGCTGTTTACTGCTGCAGTAATATTACGAAACCATTAGAGACTATATTGGTAGAGAGCTGGAGTCAAAGTCTGAGGCTCTATCTAATTCTGAAAAATAATTCCAGTAAGGACACAGGTGCTGATACTCTGCACTCCACCGACCACCTTCACCATGAGCTCAGATGTGTCTGGACTGGTTCTCTGCTTCGTAATTATCTCTGAAATCAGTTATCACACAGCAGCTTCACCCATCTCACCTCCAACATGTTGGCAACTTCGTGCACAAAGATGGTGACGGCAATGTCTTGGTTGTTACACAGGTTCACCGAGCTGTCCACCATATTTTACCTCGACCTCCTTCAGCTCCAGGGACCTGACTCCTAAGCCCAGCAGACAATTACAACAGAAGACAAGCCGTTGGGGTAGGAGACAACATATATTTAGTTTCAAATGTAATCAGACATCAGTCAGTTAGTTTTAAATTTAAAGAAAGTCATCAGAAATGTACACTGTGGTCTGACGAATCAGTATTTCAGGTGTTTTTGGAAAGAATGGACGCCATGTCCTCCAGACAAAGACAAAAAGGTTCATCCAGATTGCTACCAGGAACAGGTTCAACAGCCAGAGTCTGTCATGGTCTGGGGTTGTGTCAGTGCCCTTGGCAAAGGTCACTTACACTTCTGTGATGGCTCCATTAATGCTGAAACATACAGAGAGATGATGGAGCAACATGTGCTGCCTTCAAGACGACATGTTTTCCAGGGACACCCATGCATATTTCAACAAGACAATGCAAAACCTCATAGTGCACATTACCAAGGTCTGGGAGTGGAGGAAAAGGGTGTGAGTGCTGGACTGGCCTGCCTGCAGTCCCAGTAGAGAATGTGTGGCACATTTTGAAATGCAAATTGTGTCAATGAAGACCCAGGACTGTTGTACACTTTAAGACTTGTTTACAGAAAGAATGGGACAAAATGACACCTGACACATTTAATCACTTGGTGTCCTCGGTCCCTAAATGTCTTAAGTGTTGTGAGAAGGAACGGCAACATCACATTGTGGTAAATGCTTCAATGTCCCAACTTGTTTTGGAATATGTTACAGGCATCAGGATTGGAGTGAGTGTTTATTTTGAACAAAGAATGAAACTTAAAGTCAACAGCATGTGCTATGAAAGGTGAATCACTAATCTACCACATTTGCTGCACTTTACAGCTAATGCACATATCAGACAATAAACTGATCAATTAATCCCAGCTTTCACAACTTCACTTGACTGAAGAAATTTTATTGGAGCAGTGTCATTTAAAAACATGTAAAATATTGATTGACATGAAGAAAAAGTGATGAAAGAAAACACCAGTCAGCTGCTATTGATCAGTAACAGCTGGTCAATCTTTATCACAGACTGCTGATTTTGATTTAGTTTCTGAAGTGAGTTTAAAGTTTGAGCTGGAACTAACAACTACAAACAGATTTCAGTGACCAGTTCTTTAGAGTCCTGTGAGAGTAAGGATGATGTCCCACTCTATTTAAAGTCTGTAAAACACTGACCGAAGAAAGGTGCCTCAGTCTGTTATATAAAGTGATACAGAAACATGACGTAGTGAAATACCAAAACAGAGATTGATATGTGGGGAAGATGTCCCACTCCCTTAAATTTCTAGTGAGATATAAAGTATGTAAAGGCTGTGCTTTAACAATGGGTTTCAAAGATAGGAGTGTAAAAATGGAGTGCCACTAGGTATACGAGATAAACGCTTAGTTATTTAGTACTGTTAAAAATAAAGTTTGCTGTTATTATTTAATGTCTTTGTCTGCTTAAAATGTAATATTGCACAAGTATTTATTTTAACAAGGAACATTAAAAAATTGTTAAAGCTTGAATGTCAAAATTGTTAAAGTATAAAGAAGAACAGAAGAGCGGAACAGAGCTATGGCTGTAAGGTAAGAGTGTTCATTTCTTGAAGAAATTCTTGTTTATCAGGAAGATGA